CCACACGGATCATAAATTAAAAAAATTTTTAAAAAGCATAAATCAGGGCTATTACTATGGAGTCTTGACAACTCATTTCACCTCTTTGAGTCCTCAGCTTCCCATCACTGAGGTGGGGGTGACAAATCCTCCGGCTCCCAGCCTGGCAGGAAGGTGGCTCTGACCACATGACTCAAAGAAAGTCAATAGACTTTGTTTTATGGCAAGGCTGCATGTATTGCACTTTGAATTTCAAAGGCAAAAATAATAATAATAATTATCTAAGGCCATAAAGATTGTACAGGGGTTAAGATGCTTGTCCTGCATGCAGCTGGCCCTAGTTTGTTCCCTGGCACTGGTTTCCCAAAAACTATCAGGAGTGATCCCTGAGCACAGAGTCAGGAGCACCACAGGATATTACTCAAACCCTCAGGCCCCCGCCAAAAGAAAGAAAAAGAATTATCTGGGAATGGGGCTAGTTATATCGGGGAACAGGAATAAAATGTATGGTGAAGAGTGGAATTGGATTTTTAGTGGTGAACTTAGAGAAGTCAGTACACATGCTGACTTTTAATGATGCATGCCTGAAACATGTCCTCATGTAGTTACTTCAATAAAAAAATATTTGTGGCTGTTTCCTCCCAGTCTCAGTCCTCATGAAAGAATGCAATTACTTTTGCCTAAGGGTGGGGGAATAAATGTCTTGAGTCTGGAGGTGTGGAAGCAGAGAGCTGGAGGTTCAGGAAATGTAACTTGTGGAGCAGGGGTGGGAATTCCCGTCCATACTGAGCATCATTAAGCTTTTCCAAAGAGGATCAGGACCTTGGGGATCCTAGGGGGACAGTGGGAGTGGGGGGAGGATCTTTGAGCCCCGAGCCTAAGAGGTGCCCGCGAGGCAGTATCAGCACTGTACAGAACTGTGTCACAAGGAAATGAGATGATGAGATAATGCTGGGGTATTGGAAATGTTGCCTTTAAAGTTTCATTCTGTTGAGGTGCAGAAGCTTCTTAGTTTAAGATAGTCCCATTTATCTATCTCTGTTTTCTCTTGCTTGGCCAGCAGTGTGACATCTTTGAAGACACTATTAGCTTCTATGTCATGAAGGGTTTTGCCAACATTTTTCTCAATGTATCTTATAGATTCCGGTCTGATGTTGAGGTCTTTAATCCACTTAGATCTTACTTTTGTACATGGAGTTAGGCAGAGATCTGAGCCCATTTTTTTGCATATAGCCGTCCAGTTTTGCCAGCACTATTTGTTAAAGAGGCTTTCCCTGCTCCACTTCACTTTTCTTGCCCCCTTATCGAAGATTAGATGCTCGTATGCTTGGGGGGGGGGGGGGGAACGTCAGTATATTCAACCCTGTTCCATTGGTCTACCGCTCTGCCTTTGTTCCAGTACCATGCTGTTTTAATTATTACTGCCTTGTAGTAGAGTTTGAAGTTAGGGAGGTTGATTCCTCCCATTTTCTTTTTCCCAAGAATTGCTTTAGCTATTCGTGGGGGCTTATTGTTCCATATGAATTTCAGGAGTGTTTGCTCCAATTCTTTGAAGAATGTCATGGGTATCCTAATAGGGATTGCGTTGAATTTATACAGTGCTTTGGGAAGTATTGCCATTTTGACAATGTTAATTCTCCCGATCCATGAACAGGGGATATTTTTCCATTTCCTCGTATCCTCTTTTATTTCCTGAAGTAGAGTTTTGTAGTTTTCTTTGTACAGGTCCTTTACTTCCTTAGTTAAGGTGATTCCTAGGTACTTGATTTTCTGGGGCACAATTGTGAATGGGATTGTTTTCTTCATGTCTTTTTCTTCTCTTTCACTATTTGCATATAGGAAAGTCATGGACTTTTGGGCATTGATTTTATAACCTGCCACTTTACTATACAAGCCTATTGTTTCTAGAAGTTTCTTGATAGAGGTTTTAGGGGTTTCTAAGTATAGTATCATATCATCTGCGAATAGTGAGAGCTTGATTTCTTCCTTTCCTACCTGGATGCCCCTAATATCCTTTTCTTGCCTAAATCGCTATTGCAAGTACTTCCAATACTATATTGAACAGCAGTGGAGAGAGTGGGCATCCTTGTCTCGTCCCTGATCTTAGAGGGAAGGCTCCCAGTTTTTCGCCATTGAGGACAATGCTTGCTGTAGGCTTGTGGTAGATGGCTTTAACTATATTGAGAAAAGTCCCCTCTATCCCCATTTTGGCTAGGGTTTTCATCATAAATGGGTGCTGGATCTTGTCAAATGCTTTCTCTGCATCTATTGATATGATCATATGTTTTTATCTTTTCTTTTGTTGATGTGGTGGATTATGTTGATTGATTTCCTAGTGTTAAACCAGCCTTGCATCCCAGTGACCAAAATACAAAGACAGTCAACTGAATGGGAAAGGATATTCGCCAACTACACATCTGATAAGGGGTTAATTTCAAGGATATACAAAATACTGGTTCACCTCCACAAAAAGAAAACATTCAACCCCATCAAAAAATGGGGAGATGAAATGAATAGAAACTTTGACAAAGAAGAAATCCGAATGGCTAAAAGACACATGAGAAAATGTTCCACATCATTAATCATCAGGGAGATGCAGATCAAAACCACAATGAGGTATCACCTCACACCACAGAGACTGGCCCATATCCACAAGAACAAAAGCAACCGGTGCTGGCGCGGATGTGGTGAGAAAGGGACACTCCTTCACTGTTGGTGGGAATGCCGACTGGTTCAGCCCTTTTGGAAAACAGTATGGATGATTCTCAAGAAATTAGAAATTGAGCTCCCATTTGACCCAGCAATACCACTCCTGGGAATATATCCCAGAGAGGCAAAAAAGTATAGCCGAAGTGACATGTGCAATTGTCTGTTTATTGCAGCACTCTTTACAATAGCCAGAATCTGGAAAAAACCTGAGTGCCCGAGAACAGATGACTGGTTGAAGAAACTCTGGCACATTTACACAATGGAGTACTATGTAGCTGTTAGAAAAGAGGAAGTCATGAAGTTTACATACAAGTGGTACTACATGGAAAGTATCATGTTAAGCGAAATGACTCAGAAAGAAAGAGATAGACATAGAAAGATTGCATTCATCTGGGGAACATAAAGTAACAAAATAGGAAACTAACACCCAAGTATGGCAGAGATTAGTACCAGGAATTTTACTCAATGACCCGGAGGACAGCCACACATGTTAGGGGAAGAGGGAGCTCAGAAAGAGAAGGGAACACCAAATAAAGGATGTTGGGAGGATCCGCCCACGATGGGAGAGCATGTTGAGGGTAGACTGTCGACCAAGCATGATTGCCACTCAATGCCTCTTTTGCAGACCATGGCACTCAAAAGGAGAGAGAGGGAAGTGCCCTGCCACAGAGGCAGGGTGGGATGGGGGCGGGGGGGGGGGAGGGGATGCTGGAATCCGTGGTGGTGGGAAATGCGCACTGGTGGAGGGATGGGTGTTTGATCATTGTATAATCGAAACCCAAGCACAAAAATGTGTAAGTCTACAACTGTACCTCATGGTGCCTCACTATTAAAAAATAAATAAATAAATAAATAAATAAAAATTTAAAAAAAGTTTCATTCTGGACCTGATAGCTCAGAATTTGCATTAAATTAAATTATTTCTTTGGGTTTGGGGTCACACCTGCCAGTATACAGAAGTCACTCCCTCTGGGACTCAGGTGACCTTGTGGTACTAGGGATTGAAACTGGACCTTCACATGCAAATCATGCACTCTAGCCTCTGGGCAAACTTCACAGCCAAAATCTGCATTTTTTCTGGGTTTGCGGCCACACCCAGTAGTAGCACTGTAGCACTGTCCTCCCATTGTACATCAATTTCCTCGAGCAGGCCCAGTAACATCTCCATTGTGAGACTTGTTGTTACTGCGATTGGCATATCGAATATGTCACAGGTAGCTTGCCAGACTCTGCCGTGAAGGCGAAATACTCTCGTTAGCTTGCCAGGCTCTCCGAGAGGGGCAGAGGATTTGAACCCTGGTCGCCCGGGTCGGCCACGTGCAAGGCAAACACCCTACCCACTGTGCTATCGCTCCAGCCCAAAGGCTGTATACAAAAAAAGAAAAAAAAAAACTTGCATTACATGCAGAAGAGGTATTTAAGTGATATTTTGTATATATTGAGTTAAATAAAAATGTATTACTATAACTAATTCCATCAGTAAAAATTCCCAGTTTAGTATTCAGGGCTGGAGCGACAGCACAGCGGTAGGGCGTTTGCCTTGCACGAAGCCAACATGGCCGACCCGAGTTCGATTCCTCCGCCCTTCTCGGAGAGCCCGGCAAGCTACCAAGAGTATCTCGCCTGCACGGCAGAGCTCCCCGTGACATATTCGATATGCCAGACACAGTAACAACAAAGTCTCCAATGGAGACATTACTGGGCCCACTCAATCAAATCGATGAACAACGAGACGGCCTTTACCTTTACCTCAGTATTCAGGTGTATCTTTGGTAGTGCTCAAGGGGCCATATGGTACTGGGGAATGAATCTGGGCCTCCTGCAGGCAAAGCATACACTCAGCCCGTTGAACTATCTTTCTGGGCCCCCAAATATGCATTCTATTTATTTTTACTCCCTTTTGAGTTTTCATTTTCTTTATATTATTATATACTTTATATATTTTGTTTATATGTTCAGATATTTTGTTGTCATTTGGTCCATTTGATTTTGTAAAAGGCAAAAGATTTATGCGATCTGAAGAGAAATCAGAATATGGTTCATTTAATTTTGAAATCTGTATTTTAATATGATCCTCAAGTGACACAAGAGCACTGGAAAACTTGAGCAGCTCCCTCAGTGTGGTTTACATTCCCCAGTAGAATCTGTCTGCATGGAAAGGTTGAGAAAACTTTGGGCAAACTTGCCAAATTATTTTAAATTCCACAGTTAAAAAATGATACAGTTTAAAGTGTGTCTTGGAGGACCAGAGGGATAGTATAGTGGGTAGGGGACTTGCCTTGATGGTGGTGGACCCAGATTTCATCCCTGACATCCCGTTTGAATCACAAGTATGATGGTTGGATGCTAGGGCTGTGATATGAGGTGTGTCTCCTTTGAACGTTGTTATGGGATAAACCCGTGACCTATCTGAAATGAAAGAAAAAGCCAAGGACAGGAGCTGGGAATGTGTCTCAATGGTAGAGCATTTGAGTTGTAATTTTTGAGGAAAGAAGTGAGGGAGGGAAGGAAAAAAGGAGGAGGGAGAGAGGAAGGGAAAGAGGGAGAGAAAGAGGGGATGTGCAAGAATGGGAAGGGAAGGGAAGGGAAGGGAAGGGAAGGGAAGGGAAGGGAAGGGAAGGGAAGGGAAGGGAAGGGAAGGGAAGACTTGGGAGGAAGAATAGTGGCAACTTTTGCAAAATTCTTCCACCACATTCTTCAGGTCAGACTGGAAAGAAAGAAGAAAGTAACATGTCAAGGAGAAGATATGGCATTAGTAGCTCTCCATTCTGATCTCATATAATCAGAAAGACCAATTAATTATTTTTTATTTTCAGTTTACTTTGGTGGGAGCCACACCTAACAGTGCCCAGGGCTTTCTCCCAGCTCTATGCTCAGGGATCACTCCTGGTGGGACTTAGGGAACCATCTGGAGTGCTGGGATGGAACCCGAATCTGTTGCGTGCAAGGCAAGCACCCTGTTTGCTGTACTATCACTCTAACCTCAAGGCCAATCAATTTATGCATCTTACATATAAGGATTCAGAGCAGGGTTCCTGGCATTTCCTTCCCATTCTCTAGTCTTTAGAAGAATCTCAAATTGCCTTTTCTAACCAGAGGAAGTGAAACAAGTGAACGAGACTAGTTCTGAGCCTGGTTCTATTTCTCCATGGGCCTTTTTTCATACCCCACAAACTGGAGAGGAGGTCATTGAGGATTCTGGCACTCAGGCTGCTGTTTTCCTTTTCTCCTGGTGCCTAGCACAGGAACACGGAGCCACTGGAAAGCATACTCCTTTCAGTCAGTTTTAGTTCTGGATCATTCAAGAGCTGATTCCTTCAGTTCTCTTTTGCTTTTGACATGAGGAGTTGGAAACTTAACAGAATTTCAACCCAACCCTTGCCTGTACTTTTGGCTCATTCACGCCTTACGCTTTCCCTTTCTGAACCGTCTCTGAGAGTTCTCTTCCTGACCCAAGATACATTTCCTGTTTTGATCATGTCTTTGGCCACTTTCCACCACTCTGGACAAACCTCTCACCTAACACTGCCTGGATCTTTCTTTCCCTTCCTGCATTTGCTTCCCCAGCCAGTCCTCTCCCAGGGAAGAGAGCCCAGAGGACAGGAATTGGAGAAGGGAACAGTCTGTGGGAAAGGAATAAGGAGGATGTTGATCACAGAAACTCAGAGTTCCTGGGTTTTTGTTTTGTTTTGTTTTTGGTGGTGATTATCAGGCTTACTCATGACTTTGCACTCAGTAATTACTGCTGGTGGTGTTCAAAGGACCATATGGGATGCCAGGAGTTGAACTGGGGCTAGCAGCATAGAATGCAAGCTCCCTACCCACTGTACTGTTTCTCCGACCACTTATAGCTTCTGTTTTGCACATGAAAGTTTACATCTCTTTTTTGTCTTATTACTCATGCCCATTAAAAAGAAAGCCACAGGCCCTTCAAGTTTGGGATCAGGCGTGCTTCCAACTCCCCATCTATTGCGTCATCCCAGTCATCTGGCTTCTTGATTCCAGAGCCTGGGATATAGTCAAGGTCCTCCCAGTACCAAAACAAAAATTCCTCCCTGAGGACTGACATGTGAACTGAGACAAAATGGGGATTCAGGGTACACAGAGCTGAACCTATTTTCCTATGCCCCACAATTACAGTCCTCATATCAGTGAATGCCCAACTCAGGACTCTCTCAACAAACGCAGTGCAGGGTGACAGAAATATCTCAATGGGCTAAACACATGCTTTACGTACTAGAAGCTCAGGTTTGATCCCACAGCATTGCAGGAAGTAACTCCTGAGCACAGAGTTATGTGCAGATCCAGAGCACTTCTAGGTGTGGTCCTGAAACAAACTCACACACAGAAACCTAAAGCGAGAAAAAGCCACTGGGAGGGGTCCTTGGGACCCTTGGTGGAGGGAGGCAGGCACCCTGGTGGTGGATGCAGTGTAGGAATAATGTATACATGAAAATATAATTATTAATATAAGTCACAGTATCAGCAAATATGACGGAAAAATCACTCTCACGGTCACTCTCACCATCGTCCCACTGTTCATTGATTTGCTCGAGCGGGCCCAGTAATGTCTCCATTGTGACAATTGTTACTGTGTTTGGCATATCGAATACGTCACGGGGAGCTTGCCAGGCTCTGCCATGCGGGCGAGATACTCTCGGTAGCTTGCCGGGCTCTCCGAGAGGGGCGGAGGAATCAAACTCGGGTCGGCCATGTTGGTCGCTTATAAGGCAAGTGCCCTACAGCTGTGCTATCGCTCTAGCCCATGACGGAAAAATATAATAATAAAATCTAAATATACTTCAGCCCCCTCAGGTTGATGATTACTTTGGCCGTGAGTGCTCTAAGCACAACTAAGTTGAACTTTCCTTTGTCTGTGATCCACCTTTGCCCAGTCATGTGCCCTAATTGTCCTGCTAGGTCTAGTCTGGTGGCACTTGCTAAGACTTCTCTTGGTGACCTACCTTGTAACTAAGTTGCTCCCAGACTCATGTTAGCCCTTTCTAGTCACAAATACTCTACTCCAACTTTTATATTTCTTTAGCTCTGGAATTTCCAAGGCTCTGCTCTATCCATCTGGCAGTTCTCCCTGGTGCTGACCGTTTGTTCGGATGGATAGAAGGTTTTGACGCCAAACCTACTAGACTCACAGTCACTGAGAAGCTGTGCAACTGAGAAGGCCCTCTAGGTCCTAGGCTGTCTCCATTGGGGACTGGGATTCCTGAGGGGGCTATCCTGGGGATTTGGGGTAAAGTTTTCTCTGAGTCTCACCTATTTCATCACTCTTCACTTCCCTCAGCAGAAAACAGCCTCTTCCCTACTAACCAGCACTAGAGACAAACCTGAGGACATTAGGTACCAGGAAAGGGTCTATGGTTAGTCTTGCTCTGAGGCTGCTGGAAGAAATGAAGCCCCTTATTTTCCTTTGTGCCAAAGGGTGGGTCTCTGCCTCACCCCTGAACTGTGTCTCTGTCCCAGGTAACTGGGGCCCCATGTGGACCCTCCTTATGAGACTGCTGTCTACCCCCACCAGCTGCTCCTCAGAGACCGACTTCAGCTTAGGGAACAAGTCCCATGTTACCCACAGTTTGTCCTTCAGCATCTTTCCTGTATGAGAAGGTCACTGACTCTGGTCTCTGCAACAGCGAGGTTGAGGTGACTTGTCCAGGTTCCAAGAGACCTTTCCAGTTCATCTCCCACCTGCCTTGAACATTCAAGCCCCAGTGCTGAACTGATAGTTCTGGTTCTTTTCACAACCTGTTACTTGCCACCTAACTGTGGTGCCTTTGTTTCTTTTTGCTTGTTTGTTTGTTTGTTTGTTTGCTTTATGGGTCACACCCGGTGATGCACAGGGGCCACTCCTGGCTCATGCACTCAGAAATTACTCCTGGAGGTGCTCGGGGGACCATATGGGATGCTGGGAATCGAACCTGGGTTGGCTACGTGCAAGACAAACGCCCTACTCGCTGTGCTATCGCTCCAGCCCCATGGTGCCGTTGTTTCTGCCTCTCTCAGAGCCTGGAAGACTTTTCCCTCCAACCCGAGATCCCACCTCCCTTGCTTTAATAACTGAGATTCAGTGCTTTACTACCATATAAATATCACATATTAAAGGACTTACTTATGTACCAGTCACTGGCTTATATTTATTACATTATCTTTTAACTTAATTTTTGTTTACGGCCTACACCGAGCAGTGCTCAGAGCTACTCCTGGCACTCAGGGGAACATGTGGTGCAGGAAATTAAACCCAGGACTCCAACATGCAAAGCATGTGGTCCATTCCTTTGAACTATCTCCCCAGCCCCTTCTTACATTACCTTATTTAATCTTCATAACCATCTTCCCAGTGTTTATGTGAGAGTGATTTCTGATTGTGAAATTGACTTTCATGACAGTTATTTATTTTTGCGCAAGGTCTGTTAGTAAGCTGTGTTTTCATTTAGTGAATGGGAAGTTCAGATCCAAGTCCTTATTGTTTGAATCCAGACTCAATATATTTTTATACCCTAATTTGAAAATTCGGGTTTCTTGTCTGCAGGGTCCACTATTTGCAGACATTGATCCCATTTCCTTGGTTTCCAGGCAGAAGAGGGTTTTACCTTCCTGGGATACAAGATTTAGTCCCAGTCACCCTCCGGGCACCAGCTGCCACTCGCTGGTTGTTGATTTCGACTTCATAAGTAGTATTGGGATGAATAATTAGAGTGTATAGGTGAGTGTCTGTGTTGATCTAGAAAGGGAATAGGAACTAGTTGAGTTCCCTACTTGACCTCTTTAGAACTTCAGCCTTACATGCACCTCTTGAAGTCAACCTTCATGAGCCACCCACATATTCACAAACACCCTTTACCACAACCTTCATTTCTCTGGCTAACCTCACAGAGCCTGGATGGGTGTCATTCTCCTAAGGAAACACTCCTCATCTTCCCCAGCCCCTACCTTCCTCCAGCCCAGCTTCCTCCAGCCCTTCTCTCACCTTGTCTATTACTTCTGTGTCCCACTGGTCATGAGCTGCCCATGGTGTGAGGCCATGGCTGATGCATCTTCTGTGTCTACAGCTTCCAACATGAGCTGACTCCACAGGCCGAGCATGGTGTGTGTGTGAGTGTGTGTGTGTGTGTGTGTATGTGTCTCTGTGTGTGTGTCTATGTGTGTGTGTGGGGGGGGAGGGGTTGTCCACAGCCATGCCGGGAAAGGCTTCAGACCTAGTAACAAGTTCTCTGGGCCATGTGGGCTCCTTTAGACTCACCTTTTGCCCCAACTCTGTACTCAGCTTCAGAGCCACACTCTCAAGTCTTCTTCTCTTTTCTCATGCAATGACCTATTTTAGAAATTCAGCCCTCTCTAAAATGACCATGACCCCTTCCCAAGCCCCATTCGTGCTCTTCATTCAAAACTCTGCTCAGGAAAAA